TTTATTGTTTTAAGAAAATTACTCATTAGTTGTAGTAAATAAGTGTCAGTGTGTTCATTGGTTGTAGTAAATAAGTGTCAGCGTGTTCATTGGTTGTAGTAAAAAGTGTCAGCATGTTCATTGGTTGTAGTAAATAAGTGCCAGTGTGTTCATTGGTTGTAGTAAATAAGTGTCAGCAAGTTCATTGGTTGTAGTAAGTAAGTGTCAGCATGTTCATTGGTTGTAGTAAGTAAGTGTCAGCATGTTCATTGGTTGTAGTAAGTAAGTGTCAGCATGTTCATTGGTTGTAGTAAATAAGTGTCAGCATGTTCATTGGTTGTAGTAAATAAGTGTCAGCATGTTCATTGGTTGTAGTAAATAAGTGTCAGCATGTTCATTGGTTGTAGTAAATAAATGTCAGTGTGTTCATTGGTTGTAGTAAATAAGTGTCAGTGTGTATGTATGATTTTATCTAATGTCTAATTTTAGGACTGCCAGGTTGATCCAAATTTGACTTTAAAGGACCTTGGCACAGACCAACATGTTACTGTGGTTACTGTCAGTAATTTGTACCTTTTGATGGGTAAGGAGTTGGAATGCTTAGAAAGTGTCCCAGCTGGAAATGTGTTAGGTAAGAGAAAGAAAAATATTATCTTATAGGCTTTTGTTTTTACAAAATTAAAGAAGCATGTTGCTTTGATACTGATATTTCCGTAGTTATAAAAAAACAAGCAGTGTATAAATTACTTTCATTGTAGAAACTGTTTATATAATTAACTCTAGACAGCTGTTGTATGAGCTAGTGGTATTCCATTTCATGCCCAGTTCCATACTATAACCAATACTTTAGACTTTAATTATACTTAGCTTACTTGTCTATTCAATCTTCGTTTTACAGTCTTTTGATAAATTCTAAAATGGTAAAGGATTCTGACCAGTGAGGACCTTTCAGGTGTACACTCGCATATCAAATTTCAACATTTAAGTAGAAATATTAATTCTAACCCTGTTTCAACACTATTTAACTCAAAAACATTTCAAGTTTATACTTTGTTGTGTTTTAACATTAACTTAATGTAATTTGCAAACGAAAATCAAAACAAATGCTCTAACTTTTACTTCTATGCAGCTCTGAGGAGTCTCGCCCGTAAACAACACATTTACCTCATCTGCAAACAACACATTTACCTCATCCGTAAACAACACATTTACCTCATCCGTAAACAACACATTTACCTCATCCGTGAACAACACATCTACCTCATCCGTAAACAACACATCTACCTCATCCGTAAACAACACATCTACCTCATCCGTAAACAACACATCTACCTCATCCGTAAACAACACATTCTCCTCATCCGTAAACAACACA